TCTAATCTCCACCGTTCAGATTGTGCGTCACTGAGTCGTGAACCTCTCCTCCAAATTTCAGCTCGATCGGACTACGGAAGAAGCAGGATCGGATGTTTGATGAAATCTGGGCAGAATGGAAAAAACATGTGCGACCCGGTTATTGTTCACGAGTACGAATCACTGTTCCCGAGGTCAAACTCTGATCTGCACTGTTCAGATTGTGCGTCACTGAGTCGTGAACCTCTCCTCCAAAATTCAGCTCGATCGGACCACGGACGAAGCAGGATCGGAGCTTTGATCAAACCTTGGCAGAATGTGAAAAACTGCGTTTTTCCTTCTCCACTTCCACAAAACGTGTGCTTTGTTTAAAAAAAACCCTACACAGATCTACCTTATACTTATAGAGTTTTCCTAAACCCTAGGTTCATTTAAGTCCAACTCACAATCCTAACCGGCCCATCCAATTAACGTAGAAACCTACGACGGCTATAATATAAAACCCTAATTTATACTGTAATTAAAACCCTAGTTAGATGTATTTACCTATTTACCCTATTTACCATTAAATACTTAACAAATAATCTAATTGAACAAAATAATAATTAGTAAACCCAATTAAACCAAATAAGACACACATAAAATAAGACACACATAGAATAATTAAACCAATTACACTTAAACCATTAATGCCAATTAAATAATTAAAATACTAACAAGTAATTCCAATCAAATAACTAAACCAATTACACTTAAACCATTAATGCCAATTAAATAATTAAAACACTAACAAGTAATTCCAATCAAATACTAAAAATAAATATCATTTAAATAAATTAAATCACCACAAAAGAAAACAATTAAGCACCTAATAAATAAAAATAATAATGACACATAATCAAATAAAATGCACTTAAATAATAAATTAAATACCATTAAATACCAGGAATATCCTTTTTAAAATTAGGGGTATTATATGTGTTAATTTGATTGATTTAATTGTTATGTTAATTGACTTTTGTTTTGTTTTAATTGATTATTTGATTAATTGTTTTATTAGTTGTTTTAATTATTGGTTTAATTGTATTAATTACAAACTTATTGTTTTCATGTGAATTGTATTAATAAACTTGTTTAATTGAATTTAGTTAATTAAATTTAATTAGTTTCTATTTTAACGTGACTTTATGGTAGGTTGCACACAGATAGTTCTACATTAGGTTTATAGTTCACAGCCGACATTAAATATAACCTAGGTTGTTCTATGGGCCGAGTAAATCAGATTAGGGTTTAGTTGAGCCTAGGATTAGTGTGGCATATAAATATTCACCTAAGATGTCTGCCTAGGGTTTTAGAGCAATACTACGACATAGTAAGGCTGAGAGAAGTTTTGGAGACAGCTGGGAAGGAAATAGAGAACAAACAAAGGATTCGCCGGGGAATTTAGACGGACGTCGGTGTAAGGCAAGTTCCATCCTTACTCTCTCCCTTAGGTTTTGTGTTCTTTGCATTCTTAACAGTTCTAGGATTAATGGAATGATAAAAAGATTATTTGTTCCTGTTAAATATTGAATTTTATATCGGTATATTTGAATGTCTGCAAACTGTTAGAACGATGATATTTGCTTGCTTAATTCTCTGTTTAAACCTATGTATGGAATGCATTAAAGACTTAAACATGGAACGGGAACCTACTGGGGTTGGGTTACAACTTCTGGGAACCATAGCATAGGGTAGAGAAGTTGCAGAAGACGTCGGAAGAAGAGGGAAGAAGAAAAGACGAGGCAGAGAGGGAGAGAGTCGGCTCTCCCTTGGAGAGAGCCGGCTCCCTTGTGATGGGAGGCAACTCCCAAGGTGTGGGAGCCGGCTCCAAGGGCAAAGGAGCGTGTTCCACACTTGTTGGAGCTGGCTCTTGCTCCATTTTTCTTTTTATTTCGTTTTCCAGTCAGTTTTTCATGCAGCGGATTGATTTCTGGAATTTTCGGATGAGTTTAGGACTGAATGTGGAAGGTTTAAACGAGGCTCATGTCTGTATTAAGGTTCCAGGAGGTGTGTTAATAAACTAATTACCTAGGTAGCTTGGACAGTAAGTGGTTTAAACAAATTAATACACGGCTTAGAGCTAGAAGATGTAAATTGCTAAATCTGTTATGTTAGCAATTTTTCTGAGACGAGTAATTTAATTGAAACGTGGTTCACCATATACCATGAGTATGTATCTGAATTATACATGTGTAGGATGTGTTAGTGTTGAATGATATTAAGTTTTAAACTTATCATTAACTAGATTTTGTGAAACAACTTAAACTAAGCATGTCTATATACATACTGTGATTCTATTTTGATGCTTGCACTATTACTGTTAGTATCAATTGTTGGAGGTATGGACTTTGTTGATATTTATTCTAAATGCCTATGATATCAACTGTTGGATGTAAATGATATTCTGAATTAGTCTTATCATTATATTAGATCTTATGGAACAACCTAAACTGACCATGTTTACGTATATAATTTAACTATGCTTATTGATGCTTACCTGATGACTGTTAGTATCAGTGACGGATATATGGATTTAGTTGATATTTACCTTAAGTGTCAGTGTTATCAACTGCTGGATGGTTGGATAGTATACACCGGTATGGGACGGTGGTATACTAGGGACGGTTTGGTTTCAAAATACCAAAACCTACTTACTCGGGATTAAGAATTGGATTAACTAAAAGTTAAGTCCTATTGATTGTAGTGTCATGGCAACGACCAGTTGAGCGACACTACTAGGATACATGATGGATTTTAAATATATTGTTATGGTACCTCGATATGAGCTTGAGTCTCAAGATCAACGGTTAGGGAGCGTATATGCATTGGGATGCATAGCTGGATACGATGGTTGGAGGTGTACCCTGTTTAGGATTAGGTATACATGCCCACTTTATGTGCGTTTTAGCATGTTGCCTCTATTCAGGTTGAGATCGGCCTATAGTCCAGTGAGAGTCCTTTTGTGTGACTATATATATATTTACGGACTATTTGTTGAATTGTTTAGGATGTACACGCGTATCGGGCATCTGTTTGGATTGTAGAAGTATAGAACTTGCGCATGGGCCTGACCCATTTCTATTTTCAGGTACACGACAGTTCCAGACTTAGACGTATTCGTGCTGAGCAGAGGTTTCTATTCACTCTACCGACGACGTAGGACTTTTCTCCATAGCTTATATCAGGATGTTCTATCAGTTGTTTTATTTTAGTTTGGATTTTTTAGGGGTTAACTAGAGATGGATTCCCGAGTTGTTTAATCTATTGGAGGTTTTGGATTATGGGGATTTAAGTATTTATTGTTAAAGGATTTATTTTAGTTTCTTCCAGCTATTATTTATTTATTTCTTATTTCACTTTGTATTCCGTGTTCGTTGAAAATATTAATTGTCTAATATCCCTTGGGTTTGGGCCTGGGCTTGATCAACCCGTGTCTCGAATCTGAGGGGTATCACAGCAGCCTCTTTCTGCTGGGAGGGTTTGAAGCTAAGACGTCTGGTATCATAGTGAAAGGCTCTAACCATGTGGGCTAGATGAGTCCTTGTGTATTCATTTAGCAAATAATATATATATAAATATATATTGTTTCTACTGATTGACCCAGTAAATAAATATGTCAAGATGAAGAATAACTCAAGATATAAATATTTATATTCTCTACGTTCGATATGCAAACAAGAGAATTGGGGTAACTGACAAGGAGTCTTCACCCAGGAAGTTTGACCGTCACACAAGTTTATAATTCAGGATAAACTCCAGTATCTCAAATAAAGATAAGAATAAGTTCCCTTCCGTGTTGGAGAAATAAGAGGTATAACAATCCTGTTTTGATGCAACTTAACACCCTTATAAAGAGGGCGTTCGGGTTAACAGAAAAGGTACGACACAAATCCCTAAGAAAGTCCTTTCACCTTCTTTCCACCCTCCTGATCTAGCACTAACTTGATCGTCGGAGGCTCCTAAGTCGATACCACACCGGTACCCCTCGATCACATTTCTCTTCCCTTTTAGGTACAACGTCGTTTCGGGTCGCTATGGAACTTTGCATCATCAGTTCTATTTAGAAGGAAAAGTATAATTAGAGAGTGAAAGTAATAAAAAGTGGAATAAAAGAAAGAAAAATAAATTATTTATTTCTTTATTTGATGTATTTGATTAGAATTAAAAATTATTAAGTTGTAGTGAATTTGCATTTAATTATTTGGATAGTTTGAAAGGTAAGAAAATATATATAAAAAATCACTATCACCTAAATTGCCCTTATTTATCAATTTGTTTTGTATCAATATTTTTTTATTTTTCTTTTTTAAAATAAAAGAAATGTAAAAGAAAAAAAAGTAAATAACTTTTTAGGACATTCTCCAATATAAATTTATTATATTTAAATATATATATATATATTTTTAAAAAATGCCTAAATCCAATTTATATAGGAGAGATAACAGTATCACGCCCAAATTTTTCGAACGAAGGTCAAGGGTTCGAGCCTCAGTGGAGGCATGTGTGTGTGAATACAAATTAAGAAAAAAAAAATCCAATTTATATAAGAGAGATAGACATAAGAGGGACGGTTGTAAATTCAATGATGAAATATAATTTTTTCAAAAGTATAAAATTTTCTTATGCTTTTTGCAAATACAATTTTTATCATAGCTAAGTGGTTATGAAAAACTATTCTTTTGTTTTTTTTTTTTTTTTAATTCTTATCATACTATTCAAACATTTTATTTTCAATTTTTTTTGCTCACTTTTCAAAAATTTTTTTTTTGTTTTTTTTTTATATTTTTAACAAAACTACACTGTCTGGATAACCCAGTCCACTAATTTAATACCTAATAATGAAGAAAAAAAAAAAATTTAATGATAATAAATAAATAAATAAAAGTAAAGGAGCACGTGACTCGTATTGACTTCCGAACAACGGAGAAGTTAATGTAAACGGACGTTACCGAGCCTAAAACAGGTTTGACTACACCGAACCTCAAAATCAGACATACCTTATCTCCATGTCTCTATATCTATATCTACAATATGTACTAGATATCGAACTGTCTATCAATAAATATATACACAAACCTCAATTTTGTCATCAATTCCAAAGAAGACTTCACGACTTTTCTGAAGACTCATTCAAAAGCGCGATTAGAGACTGCATTTTCAGGTTCTTTCAATTTGATTTTCATACATGTTATACTTTGAATCTGTTCTTGTAGTACTAGATTTTGGCTTGAAATCTCGGTCTGCTCGTGGATTTCGAAGGTTTCGATATCGTTCATTGAAAATCTAATGGTCAACATTTTGGTCTGAACTGTTTTTCTCATCTCCACCAGAAAAGGGATACTTTTCAAGCTCTGGAATAGATTTTGGTGGCTTTTTCCCTGAAAATTTCTGATTCCTATGTTTCGCGTCTGTTTGGTTGCTCAGAAAAAAGCAGAGGAAAACAGAGGAGAAAAAAAAAAAATTTGACCTGTATTTTTTGTTGTTTTGTTCGTAACTGTAATTCCCCCAATTTTCTTAGCAATTAAAGAAAGTAAACGGAAATAGAGAAATTATAATAGGATATTTAACATCACCCTTGATAAGATCCCGATTCTTCAATCTGCAAATCAGTGGTACATTGAGTGCAGTTTAGCTGCTAAGAGAAGATGAGTGAAAAGAAGAAATTAATGGGTACCAAAATCCTTTTTGTTCAGTTTTCAGTTTTTTTTTTTTGACTAGTGTTCAGTTTTCTGTTTTATGAGAATTCAAAATCAGAGAACTGTACAAAAATTTGTTTGGTTGAAATTAATGGTTAACAAAATCCTTTTGGTTCAGTTTTCTAGAATTCAAAATAAGAAAACTGTATAAAAATATGTTTGATTAGTTTATGAAAACCCAAAGAACTATCTTTTATCTTTTACAGTTATCTGAAAACAGTTTATGTTTTCTGAATTATTGAGAACTGTTTTTAGATTATTGAACCAAACAGGCCCGTAATTATCAGTCTGAGTCTATGATTATTCCGCATATTGTAAGCAACTGTATGTCATCTTCCTTAAACCAGAAGGACCAAAATAATAGAACACAAAAGATTTAAAGTTTACATATTTCTTTTGATTGTCAGTTTCTTCAGAAAATAAATGACTCTACTTATTTTTGAATCCCTTTCTTTTTGAATGTGCTTAAAGTAAAATTGTCCATCTTGTATGTTATCTTAAAATGTTGTTCATGTCCATGAGATTTAAAGTTTACATTCTTTCTTTTGATTGTCAGTTTCTTAAGAAAACAAACGAGTCTACTTATTTTTTTTATCCCTTTCTTTTTGAATGTGATTAAAGTAAAATTGTCCATCTTGTATGTTATCTTAAAATGCTCATGAATAGTCGAATCTTTTGGTTTTTAACTGGGTAATGAATGATATTTGCAGTGAATCAGGAACATTTTCCAAGGATAATAATGGCGGACCACCTTGTTTTGTGTGTCGATCGTCTTATCACACCTGAATCATTGCAATCACTGCAAGGGGCTGAGGTCACTGGATCGTCTGGAATGGGTTCTTGCACTCACATGGCTGATCCGTCCACTTCTGGCAATGCCATTAAGGAGGTGAGGGAACATGATGTAGCTGACGAAGAGGAACCACTAATTGAGTCAGTGGAATGCCGCATTTGCCAGGATGAGGACAGCATGAGAAACATGGAGATCCCTTGTGCTTGTAGTGGCAGCTTGAAGGTATCTTCTCAACAAGTTTTTTGATGTCAATTTTGTGGGTTCAGTCACTTCTTTTCATGAAAAAAATTTCTTTTTTTGATAGTATATCACTTCATGTATTTATATATATATATATGGACTGTATGTATGTGTATGTATATGACTCTTTTTATGTTCTTAACTTATATAAATTTTGCTTCCATCTGATTTTGTATTTCTTAACTTTCACAGTTGTACTTTTTGTGAACTTTTTCTTTGGGCATGAGTGACTGTTAACTCATTTGTTTGAGAAAATGATGATAGGTCCTTCTCTTTGAGTCATAAGGGGTTTGAATGCATATTCAAATGCTTGTATAATTTTACGTTTCTGTTTGGTATTTTTGGTTTATTGGCCTCAGTCTCAGTGATCTCAAGCACACGTCAGCTAAAGAATCATGTGGTGAGGAATCTTTCTTTGGTTCCTAGGGGAGTCTAGATGATCAGGGCAAGTGGCACCTAAGGTGCACCAAAGAGGCAAACACCAATGGTTGCACCTAAGGTTCACCAAAAGCCAATTTCATATTCTTTGCACTTCAAAGATTTGATAATTTATTTATGTAGTGTAATATAGCTTCTTCGTTGTATTGTATCAGTATTCCAGTTAATCATAGTACCTGGATGAACTGTGGGAACATTTAACTTAAGTTGATCAATGAACTCCAACCTAAGGAGGAACAAAATCAGGTTACTGATGTATAGGTATCGGGGAGGAAGAGAAAATGGTTCATTTCTATGAATTATTTATTTAGATTCTTATATTGCTTAAATTTTTTTATTTATAAAAATACCAGAAATATTTATCCAATACAAAGTTATTTAGGCCTTATATCATATTTAATAAAAATAAAGACAATTTAGATATACTGTTATATTTTGTTGTAACTTTCATGCTATCCAAAGCATGACATGGTAAATTTTCACAACTCGCTTGAAATATTTTAATGCTAACCAACTTCATGTTAGAAAATTGATTTTCCTTTCACTTCACTTTCACTTTCACTTTCCATTATTAATTTCCATCTAAATAAACGGACCCTAAATGTCTGTAGCAGAACATACACAGATTGAAATTTTGTAATGGAAGCTTATTCTTGATGCACGACTTGTAAATAGTTATATTTGACCTTATAACATATGTTATTTGCACTATGCTGTAAGCTGTTAGGTTTCTTCAAACATTGCACTGTCCACGTCCTTGCACTTTTTTCTGGATACAAGCACATTTGCATGTATATTCTGATTCTCTGAATTATGTTTATGGATGTCTATTAGTTATAAAAAGCTTCTTTCAAGTACCTCATGAAATGGAGCGAGTCCATGTAAATCTGAGTTAAGGTCCATGTCTTTATTTCTGGGTTTGTATCTGAATCTGTCTCGGATCTTATGGACATAATCCATATCCAACCCATAAATTCCACTGATAATCTAAATAAATCCTTTAAAAATAGGACTCGGATTAGATCTAGGGTTAAAACCACTCCATTTCATACATATATACTCGAATCAGACTTGGGTCCAAGACGGATCTTACAAAGAACATCTATATCCAACCCATTTTGTCTTCGAATTCAAACTTATAGTACAAGTCTGATAAATGGATTTTGGACCGGTTTGGATCTCAGGTTAAAGTTATACCATAACCATTTTATGCCCTGCTTTGAGGTCACGGGGACGGAGCCTTGTGGCTTCTAGTGGGGTCAACTGATTCAACTAAAATTTGATAAAATAAAATAGGGGTCAAATCAACATAACAAGAAACTGTGGATATATATATATATATATTTGACTGCTCTGGAACCTTTTTAGGAAAATAAGGATGGGTCAATTTGTAATATTGAATGCAATGGGCAGATGTCATAGAGATAATAAAGTAGTTTTTTTCTTCTTGTTTTCTTTATTTATTTATTTTGGGCATGGTTAGAGGTTATAACATCCCCATCCAAAAACCACGTTGTGCCATGTTGTGAGTGATTGATAACACCCCCCCCCCCCCCCCCCCCTTCCCTCTATTGTAGATAGATTATGCACTACTTTGGATAATATAATTTTGGTTGAAAGGGTAGCTGGAAGGAATTAGATGTTTTCTCTGGGAAAAGGAAGGGATATTTGCATCTTTTGGTTATTGAGCAGAGTGAATAGACGAAGGAAGAAAAATGGTATTTCACGAGTTTGTTATTGTAATCTTAATAAATAGTTTTGCTTGAAGGGTGAAAGTGTAGACAATTAGTGAGGAACTCTTTTTCTCCTCACATGAATGTGGTGGCTGTGAATACATCAACTGGAGCCTAGCCAAGCTAGAAACTGCTCAGTCTTGCTCGTTCATTTTGTTGTACCAGGTCAGGCTTTTGACGAGCTTAAAAACCTGAGCTTGAGCTTGGTTCAACTTGCCTTTGGTGGCAAGCTAATTGGGCTTGGCCCTATACCCACGGAACATATTATTTTAATATATTTTAATTATATTTTAATACTTTGTTTATCAATAAATGGATATGAAACTTTTTAGAATTACAAAAACCTATTAGGCATGCCTTCATGAGTCCACTGAGCTGAGTCTACCGTTATTCAAGCTTAGTTCATTTAATAAACAACTCATAAAGGCTGTTCAAGCTTGGTTCATTTACTCGATGAATGGGCATGATATGTACCTTTTTAATGAGGCTAGCCTGGATTGTTCATCAGCAGATCAGTTTATTTGCAGTCCTACTCTTCTCCTCCCTTCCCTTTTCTGTTATACCAAACAATGAGAAGGTTATCAATTCCATCCATCTTCCTTCACCGTCTTTATTTCCTTTCACACTTCTCCAACCAAGCAAATTATATTATTATTATAATTATTATTATTTGGTTTTTATCTACTTACAGTTTGAAAGAAAGTGATTGTGTCTCTATTTTATAGAAGATGGATGCAATGATAATATGCCTAAAAAGTTGATTTTGTAAATATCATAGAATTAAATATATATATATATATATATATATATATATATAACAATATATATATATATATATATATATATATATATATATATATTGTTTTGCTGTTGAATTATCTCATGACTTAGCAGTGCCTTTAATCTTGATTTACCCTACTACATTGCTGCTTCTGATTTAGTTGTGGTTTTAATTTCCATTAGTTTAATTATTGGTCTGGACTAGATCATTATTCTTTTTGGAAGTGGTTTAGGTCATATACTTTTGACTTACGGACATAGAAATTTGTTATCCAGGATGCAGGATACGACAGCTCATTTGATTCGGACTTGCTGATAAGTTTAAACATGATTGTGTTGGTGTATGTATTAATCATGTGCACTTATGTATGCTCAGTTGTGTATATACATTATGAAGAACCACAGGGAATAGAATGACAATGGCAATGATGATTAGATATTAACTTCCATGTCCATGACGAGAATAGAGAATACCACTGTACTTCTGTCCATTTATATTTAAATAACTAATTACTTTTTCTGTAAGTATCCAAATCAATAAGCAAACGGGGTAGTTTTGACAGGTATCGGACATTATGAATTTCAAAAGAATTGCCCTGTATTTTATTTCTCTATACTGACTACTTTATGTTTGTATGCTGTCCTACCAAATGCCATTGTGTATCTCTTTTGTTCCTATGATTAATTAACTTATCACTTGCCTAGTCTTAAGGCGTGGGTCAATTCAAAGTATTCTATTTCTGGAGACATGTATTTTTGGGGATTTTTTCTCAATCAACTCTCGCCTTTCCAAACTCATTTTTGGGAGATTATGCGCTGTGTCTTTTACTTTTATGTCATTTTGAAATTATCCGCCATTTGTTGAATGAACAGCTGACACTTTATTTTATCCAGTCTGCTCATAGGAAATGTGTTCAGCGCTGGTGCAATGAGAAAGGAGATATAACTTGTGAGATCTGTCACCAGGTATGTCTGCTTCTTTGTTCGTGGCCTTTGTTTTCTATCTCTTTTGTCTAGTCAAACTGAATATATGATTTCTATACTTATATTTTGATGGGTATTCTCAGATGAAACTATTCAGCTTGTTTTGCTTCAAGACATAGACATAATAATATATTTCTCTTGATGACTCTAAAGCTAAATTGTGGTATGATGGACAATCGCTATAGGTGTTACACATATACAGTAGAGTTGGATGATGTCTTTTACTGTGTAAAATAATAAATATCGAATTGTTGTTTCTCTCTTTCTCTCTCTTCTTTTGTCTTTTTCTTTTTTCTGGCTTTGAGTGGGAGGAGCAGTAAGGATTGGACCCAAAACCAGCTCATCCCTATGAATGATTTTACCACCATGCTTGGACGGTTTTGGTCATACAATTGTAGAAACCATATGATTTGAATACCTTATTTTATTTTTTCTCTTGGCCACATAAGGTCATTTAAGTTGATTAGGATTTAGGTTGCTGTTGCATTAACAATTGTAAGATAGTCCACAGCTAGATTATATATATATATATATCTATATATATATATTTATTTATTTATACACACACACACACACACACAAACTATTTCTGAGTTGTAGTTCAATTTACTTGTTACATATAATGTAAAGACGGTTTGTTTCTTTTAGTGGATCAGTTGTCTATGTACACATATGAGTTTCTCAATTCCAAAATTTGTAATACATGTTTCTCGGTCTATGTAACATATTAAATGAGGAAGTTTTAGTGCATTTGCTTGTGCCTGAACTTTTATTGATTATCATAATTGAAATTATCAAAATAGTTTTATTAACTTCTTCCTTAAAATTTCCCTGATGTACAGCCTTATCAACGTGGTTATACTGCCCCACCACCTGCCCCTCACTCTGAAGATACTACAATTGATATCAGGCAAGTTTGAACTCATGTTCTAGGATTCTTTCTATCATGTTTTTGATTGATAATTGGGTAACTCATGTTCTAGGCTTCTTTCTATCAAGTGTTTGATTGATAATTGGGTAAATTACACTGACCTCCCCTGAAGATGGGCTAAAATACAGTGAGCACCACCCCTTAATTTTTAAATATCGCACTGACCGCCCTTGACAGTGTTGTCAGAGTAACACTGTCCTCCCTTGTTATAACGGCTGTCAGTGGTGATGGATGGAATATGATGATTTCATGGTATTTAAAATTTGAAAATCCAATTTTACCCTTGAATTGTTTAAAAATACGTTAATATCCTTATGCATGTACTTGCATGAAATGACTTGAATACTCCCATTTGAACATTCTAGCTGAACGAAAGTGTCCTTATCTCAATAGATATATTTATTCATATATATGCACACAAGGCATACCCACACACACAGGCTTTTACTTTTTAGTTCTTTCTGCAACTCTGAATTATATTTGACGTGGAATTCTTTAGATATGTATAGCATATAATAATAACCGGTGAACCTTTTGGGGAAAAAAAAATGATCGACGCCAGAGTTCTTTTGACGATGGGATTGGGGTTGATGGTGTCGGCAGCGAGGAGAGTGATGAGCTGGATTTGGAAGAGGGTTGCAACTTCGGAGACTTTAAGGTCGGTGTAGAGTGTAACCCAGTAGAGCGTTACAGGCCACATTGGCTAAAATTAAGAAGAAGGTATTATACAATAGAGTGGGATGGGTATTTGAATTGGCATTTGTTTAGATTTTGGAGTTGTTAGTGGATGTGTGTTTGATGGGTCTTGACACTAGAGATACATGATAGAGAGTGAGGGAGTCCTTGGAAGATCCTGGATCTGTGAGTGGGGATGGGCTACTTCAGAGTACCCAATCCAATTACTAACTTGAAAGATTAATAGATTTGTTTTTTATTTATTGTTTTAATAGAAAAAAGTTGCATTTTGCCTTTGAGGTAAAGATTGAAATATGGTATATGATCTAAAAAAAGCCTATAAAACTACTATAACTACTACCCAGATTTTTTTTTTTTTCGATAAGTAAAAATTTTATAAAGAAAGCACTCAGAAGGGGAACGAAACCCAAATACAAACGAAAGGCCAAAAAGCGACTCAAGCCTTCAAAGAGACCAAAAAAACAACAATCTCCTCAATAGATCTATAATCTCTTCCGGAAACCCAACAAAAAAGTGTGGAAAGAATAGAAAACTTGAGCATAGAAGAAGGCTTCTCCTTTCCATCGAAATAGCGCCGATTTCTCTCGAGCCAAATACACCACTAAATACAAAGAGGAGCAGCCCTCCAAGCATCCTGAATGAGAGCCCCCACTGAGAAACCTCTCCAAGCCTTAATCAAGCCCCTAGAGGAGCAAGGCATGACCCAAGGGATCCCAAACAAACCAAGCAATAAATCCCAACACTCCCTAGCCAAGCTACAATGTAACAGAAGATGATCCACAGTCTCCTCATCGCTCCGACACAAGTAACATCGATTAACCACCACCTGATTCCTTCTCCTCAAATTATCTTGAGTAAGAATCTTACCAAGACAGAGGTCCAAGCAAAGAAAGCCACCTTGAGAGGAGCCTTAGACCTCCAAATAGACTTCCAAGGGAAAGGGCCTCCAAAGCCAAAGGAAAGACACATGAAAAAGGACCGAACCTCAAAACGGCCTTTAGAGTTAGGATCCCAAAGCCAACAATCCGAATCCCTAACTGTAATCACCTGGCGGTACAACAAATCCAAAAAACGAGTGACCTCCTCAATCTCCCAATCCTGAAAATGCCTTATAAACTGAACATCCCAAGTCAGTCTCCCGTTATCAAGATGATAACAGTCAACAACCATGGCCTGTCTATGAGAAGCAATCCTGAAGAGCCGAGGGAAAGCAAGAGCAAGAGGACGCTCTCCACACCAAAGATCCTCCCAAAGTCTGATCCTCCTCCCATCTCGAATCCAAAAATGAACATGTTTGCTAAACTCATCCCACCCCTTCCGGATGAAAGACCACACCCCCACCCCTCTAGGACCACGCACCTCAAGAGAACACCATCCTCCAAAACTCTCTCCAAATTTGAGCGCAACAACCCTCCTCCAGAGCCAACTCCTCTCAACCCCAAATCTCCAAAGCCATTTCCCAAGGAGAGCCTTGTTGAAAGGTTGCAATCTCCTAATACCCAAACCTCCACTCCGAATCGGACAACAAACTTGATCCTAACGAACCAAATGATACTTCGCCTCTCCCCCCCAAAGAAAATTGCGCTACAATCTTTCAATTCTCTCAGCCACAGAAGAGCGAATCTGAAAGAGAGAAATGAAATACGTGGGGAGGCAAGAAAGAGTACTCTTAATCAGAGTGACCCTGCCTCCCTTGGAGAGGTACTACTTCTTCCAACCTGCCAATCTCTTCTCAAATCTATCCACAACCGGATCCCAGCTTCCCACACATCTCGAAGGAACTCCCAGAGGCAGCCCCAAGTAAGAAATGGGAAAAGAGCCAGTGCAACATCCAAGAATCTGAGCAAACGTCTCGATATCAGGGACCTCCCCAACCGGCACAAGAATGCTCTTTCCGACATTAATCTTAAGCCAAGAAACCACTTGGAACCAAATCAAAACGCATCGCAGATATCTCAACTGGGACGCATTCGCATCACAAAGCACTAAAGTATCATCAGCGAACATCAAGTGGGAGATCTCCAACTGACTAGCAGCATCCTTACCCACCCGAAAGCCTCTCAAAAAGCCCAACTCGACCGCCTTCTTAATCAATCTGCTAAGAGCCTCCATAACAAAAAGGGACAGGAAAGGAGAAAGAGGATCCCCTTGTCTCAATCCCCTCTAACTAGAGAAGAAACCCGTCGGAGCCCCATTTACAAGGACAGAGAAGCGAGCACTAGAAATGCAGAAAAGGATCCATCTCCTCCACCGCTCACCGAAACCTATCCTCTCCATCAAGTAAAGAATGAAACTGAAGCTCACATGATCATACGCCTTCTCAATGTCCAGCTTGCACAAAACACTCGGGTCACCACAACTCAACCTGGAATCCACACATTCACTAGCAATGAGAACTGAATCCAAAATTTGACGACCCCCCACAAAGGCATTTTGAGAGTCAGAAATGATACCATCCAGAACTTTCCTTAATCTAGAAGCCAAGACTTTAGCACCCAACTTATAAAAGCACCCCACCAAGCTGATAGGTCGAAAATCCCTAACATTTAGCGCCCCTCCCTTTTTCGGGATGAGGGCAATAAAAGTTGCATTTAGGCTCTTCTCAAAAGAGCCCTGAGCATGGAAAGCATGAAAAGAACCCATCACCTCCTCACGAACCACCTCCCAACACTCCAAAAGGAATCGCATGGAAAAACCATCTGGACCTGGGGCTTTGTCCCCGTTATAGCTCTTAAGCGCAGACAAAACTTCCTCTTCAGAAAAAGGCTCCTCCAGAACAGAGCTCTCCTCGCTCGAAATAGAGTCAAAATGAAGTCCTGTAAGCAAAGGTCTCCAACCAACAGAATCTGTAAACAACATCGAGTAAAAATTAACAATACCCTTACAAATCTCCTCCTCCTTACAAAATGTCACCCCATCCACCCGGATCCTCCCAATGTGATTGCCCCTTTTATGAGCATTGGCAAGACGATGAAAAAACTTAGTGTTATTGTCGCCCTCCTTAAGCCACAAGGCTCGAGACTTTTGCCTCCACGAAATCTCCTCCATGACAACAATTTCAGCAAACTCTGCCTGACACTCCACCCTCCTAAGTTTCAGGGACTCCGCCAAACTACCCTGTCCCTCCATCCGATTAATCTCAGCAATCTCAGAAAAAACACAATTTTTCCTCCACACCAAATTACCGAAATCCTCTTTGTTCCATACTTTTAAATCATTCTTCAAAAGGCGAAACTTACACGCAAGAGAATGACTTGGGGTGCCAACCACACCATACCCCACCCACCAAGATTGAACATGCTCCAGAAAGCCTACAGCCCGAAGCCACATATTCTCAAATTTGAAAGGGGATCTTCTGTTACGTAAACCACCACAATTCAAAACCAAAGGGACATGATCAGAAATAGGACGAGCCAACGTGGCCTGAACAACATCGGAAAACTTCTCCTCCCAATCACTTGACACAAGGAACCTGTCAAGATGAGAGAAGGTAGGAGGAGAACGCCCACTAGACCAAGTAAATGGACCACCCACTAAAGGTAAATCAAATAACCCTGATCCATCAATAAATTCCGAAAAAGACTCCATGACAGCTGTCCATCTACCCCCCAAAGACCTCTCAAAAGGAGAGCGAACAACGTTGAAGTCCCCTCCAATACACCAAGGCAATGGCCATCTCCTTTGAACATCACCCAACTCCTCCCATAAAAGATGGCGCACACCATCCTCTGTAGGTCCATAAGCCCTAGAGAAAACCCAGCGAAAGCCATCTTCCAACAAAGCTAGGACGCATTAGGTAGAAAAAAGCCCCACTTGAGAGTCCTCCAAAGACACCCACCGATTGTCCCCACATAATCAGAATACCACCTGAAGAACTAACCGCATCCAAAGCAAGCCACTCCACAAATCTCACCCCCCCCCCCCCCCCCCCCCAACACACACACACACACACACACACACACACACAAGCTACGAACCATCAAGTCCGTCATCGAAGCAATTTTGGTTTCTTGAAGGCAAACTACATGACCTCCCTTTTTACGAATTACCGACTTCACAACTCTTCTCCTAGCCGAGTCATTAAGACCCTGGACATTCCATGAAAGAATTCGTAGCTTCATAGGGAAACAGATTCAGAAGAAAACGCACTCCTTCCATTCTTCTTCTTCCTGGACCCCTTATTCCTCCTCTCATAAATAACAAAGTCAGAGGGGCTCCGCACCTCCCTCTCCTCTCTCCCAATCAGAGCACCGACCCTTCCTCCCGCCCTATCTAAAAGCTGA